GGTCAGCTCTACCGAGAAGGAGCGATGCTGCCCTCAGAGCCGTGGCAGCAAAGGGGAAGGAGGAAATGGTGGGGGAGGGGGTGGACTCAAAGACCCTGAAGTGAGGAAAGAATAACCCTGACAATTGTCTCCCATCGACATCATGGATTACAGCTGCATTTTCCTGAACGGACAGACGAAAGTTCTCTTGAGCCAGGAATCCTATTCACTTAATGTCTATATATACAGAAACCAAACCAACTCTAGACCCAACTACTATAAAAAGAAAAATTAAAAACGTGATTCATAACATTTTAGCCGATGATCATCCTTCTCACAAGGCCGTGAAGCCGAGTCAAACTGCAGCGTAACGTGGTTTAGACTACATCAAGCATCCTCAAACGAGCGTTTGGAGTCATTAAAAAACACACAGAAATAGAAACTCAAAGATTAAAAAGAGAAACGTCAGGGAGAGGAAGAGAGAGAAGCAGTGTGAATGCAGCAAAGAAATGGAATCAAAAGGCAAAACCATCTCAAAATAAAAAATAAATCATGAGACGCCTAAGAGAAAAAGAGTCAAATTAAATTCTAATAAGGGGCATGGAAGACAAGGCAGAAAAATAGCCACGAGAATGAAATTGAGTTAAAGAAGGAAGTAAAAAATGGGGCTGAGAGAAAATGATCGAAATGGGAGTCAGCTGAGTCCCAGAAGAAGAAAAACAACAGAACAGCATTCGTATTCAAAACTGTAATCCAAGAAAACTTTGCAGATTTAAGGGAAAGCTCACGTCTACACATGAAAAGGCACCATTGCGTGCTTTGGAAAATTCACCTGGGATGATCAACTCCAAGACCCGTATTATTAAAACCATTAGGCTTTAAAGACAAATATCCTCAGGATCTCCAATCGGCAAGTGCAGATTATTCACAAGCTAACAAAGTCAGGCAGGCAAGACCCTTCTCAAGAGGAACTGCAAAGAAGGGCAAGAGTGGATACGTGTTTTCAGGCAACTCAAGGAAAGGTAGTAGGAACCACAGGTTTTTAAACCCAGCCCCACTTTCGAGGTTTGTTAAGAGGACGATTTGAATATGCAGGTGCTCAGAGGACACTGTGCACCCACCTCCTTCCTGGAGAAGCAACAGCGAATGAAAAGATCACCAGGCAAATTTCATCAGAAGGATCAACAAGCCGGGAAGAAAAGGCAACCTAAAACCAAATGGGGAAATTTTAAAAAATGAATCGAACTATTTCAAATGAATAAAGACACAGAAGGGGGGAAGGAATTTAATGCCAGTCAACTTTTGAAGGCAACGGTGGCTGTCCACCCTTGGTTCGGAGAAGCAAAAGAACCGCAGGGTAAGCGTGGACCCCGTTAGGACGGCACCCTGGCTGCAGGGTCTCTGAACCCACGTTGTGTCTGTGCAGCACCAAGCGGGCGAATGATGTGTGGATTCTGTGGGGCCCCAGCTCTTGCCATGGAAGAAGGGAGGTACGGAACGGGGAAAGGCGTAAGACTACGTGTAAATACGTGCATATCTGCCAGCTCTCTCCGCTGAAAGGAGCCGGGAATAAAGACCGCGCTGCAACAGCCCAGATCACGGTTTGCAAACGCCATTCCCACTAAATGGAACTAGGGCCCTTGGAGGGACGTGTGACTGATTCAAGGGCAGGAAGGAGAGAGTGCGAGATGAGCCGGAAATATCTTGTTGTGCCAGAAAGTAACGTGGTGCTCAAGGGACCAAACGAACGGAGCGATGGGGGCTTGTCACAAGGGTGAAGGATCAAGCTCGAGGGGGCCCCCACTGGCCAAAGCTGGGGTAAGGTGAGCACCAGATGTCGACCACAAGAGAAGTGAGATCCACTGAATAATGGGATTGGCACCCACTCAAAGATGAGGGGGTCTTAGTCCCTGCCACCTGTGAATGTCCTTTGATAGGGCAAAAGGGACTTGGCAGGTGCGATTAAGGTGAGGATCTTGACATGGAGAGATTCTCCTGTGTTATCCGGGGAGCCCTAAATGGAATCACGCGTGTCCTTATCAGCATGAGGCAGAGAGAAATCAGAACACGGGGAAGAACAGGGCAATGTGAGGACCGGAGCTGGGGGCCACCTGGGGGCTTTGAAGGTGGAGGACGGGGACAGAAGCCTGGAATGCTAGGAATGAGGCTCTGGAGGCTGGATCAGGGAGGAAAGGATTCTCCCCCAGGGCATTCAGAGGGGGTGTGGCCCGGCCAGCACCTGGACTTGGGCTCCATGGAACCAATTTTGGACTTGTGACTCCGGAACGGTAAAAGATAAGAGAATAAATGCGTGTTTTTAGATGCCCCCAAGTACGCGGTGACTTCTTATAGCCGCCCGAGCAGACTGATAGAGTCAGGAGTGGGTTACAAATCACCAGTGAAGTAAGAACCCCTGAGTCCATTCGTAGATGGAGGGGGCTCAGGAGAGGGAGGGGGTGCAAGCTCGCTGGCAAACGGGTGGAGGGGAGGGCTTGTCCTTCCAGGAGAAGCTAACCTCCTAGTGAAGATGGGTTCAGGCAAGAATCACTGACGAATCATTAAGTCTAGGGGGACGTTCTGATGAGGATCAAGGGAAGGGGTGACATGTTGATTCGTCACACCTCGGTCCAGCGGTCACAATCGCTGTTATGAAAACAGCAAGGGGACACCGTGTGCCTCCAGGTGTGAGACCCTGAGAAAAGCAGAGGGTCACATTTGCAGCAAAACTTGCATCTAGACGTGAGGAAACATCAGACAAAACCCAGCAGAGGGGATAATAATTCCATAGTCATGAATAATTGACTGCAGGGTTTCAGAATTGTCGGTGTCATGGCAGAAGGGAGGCGGTGGAATGGACGATTCTAGATGGACAGGGACCCAGAACGGTGAGTAAATGCCCTGGCAAGAGAGGACGCCAGCTGTCTCCAGTTTGACCTCAGACTTTCCAGTTGGGTTCTTCTTTCCAGCTGGTCTCTCAGCTCAGGCGGGAGACCCCCAGGGCAGAGCATCCCGTGATGGGAACAGAAACCACCCCCTCGAGCAGCCAGGACTGCCCTGAGCCCGCGAGAGCCCCGGGACCGACCCCGGGACAGGGATGGACCTGACCTTCACCGCCCACCTGCCCACATTCTCCTCCTATAGACCTGGAGGTGTTTTCCGCACTTTGGACGCTGGCCCGCTGTCTTCCCGGTGCCGGCCTCCCCGAAATAAATCCCTTTCCTGTCTGTCTCTCTGCCTTTGATTCTGCCAGCAGCGCGTGGCCGAGCCTGGTCCGTCTGGGGCCCGTGGAGCCAGGGGCTGGCGCACCCCGGCGCCCCAAGCACTGGAGGGAAAGAATGCCATTAAGAACAGCATTGGGACAAGGAAGTAACCGGAAGGTGGACAGTGGATTTGGTAAAATTATATCCTCAGTGTAAAAGTTTTTGAATTCAACATCAGTACTTTGGTTACACAAAAGAATATCCTTATTCTTAGGAAACACACCCTAAAACATTAAGGGGCAAATGGGCACAATGTCAGCAACCTGGGAGAATATGTTTGCAACAAACATTAGGAAAAAAATTAGTATTCCTAAAAATAACTGAGAAAAAAAAGTCTTCACAGATAACCCAATGTAAAAATGATCATATAATAAGAAATCACAGAAAACATACATGGAAGAATGCCCGACTCCCTCATCGCTAATGACATGTGACTTAAAACAAGGAGGTTCCAGAAGAGTTTGGGAACATTAATTGTTGGCACTAAACCCAGAAATAGCGGGATGGCACGGTAGTGCAGCCGTCCCCAGGGGCACGGCGCCCACGCGGACGAAGACATTCTCTGCAGTTGTGCTCCGAGTGGAACGCTCGGAGACTGGTCCCTCCATTGAGCGGGACTCAAGGAGTGGAATGAAATGTCACATGCAGTTAACAAGTCCGCCTCGGTAGCTCTGCTGCTGAACAACACAGTGTCAGGGGAGGGAGAGGACTCGGGTTGTCCCGAGCGGACTTCAGCCTGCCCAGGGTCGCATCTCATGTCTCGGAAGGGGAAACGTATTACTGCGTTGCTTGTATCATTAAGGATCGCATGTGTATTAAGAATTCCATACGTAATTAAACATTAATTCCAAAATACAGGCTGCATTCTTTTCCTCCCCAAGATCATTCATAAACTAGTGTCTCTTCTGTCTGTTAACAAGTCAGCGACCACGTGCTGATTTCTGCCATTCTGGCTTGTTTCCACTCTCCTCTGGCCCCTCGGGACGTACTATTTAAATCTCTAATATTGTGACCTGGAAATTAGGTCCAAGTGAGGACAAGGAAAAGTGCAGCAGCGGCGTGGCTGTCCGCCTCTTCCGTGTCCCGCGCACGTGGTGCCACGGTGCAGAGCGTGTGGACATCTGTGGACATCAGCTGACGTTCATTCACACCGGCCTCTGCTTACTCGGCCCGCAGAACGCTGGTAACACCAGCTGGCTGCCCGTCCTCACTGGGTTGCAGGAAGGTGAGGGGGTGGCGCCCTGTCCCTCCGCCGCCCACCCTGCGGGGCTCCCGCAGCAATCAGGTAGGACGACCTGCTCAAAGGACCTAGTGTTTCCGGTTTTCCTTCCGTGGTTCGAGCGAGTGATGGTGTGGAATCCGGTAGGAGCACAGACTTGATGTCCTGCTTCCCTCGCAGACATTCCGATGGTCAGCCGTGTCATTGACTTCGTTGCGTGGACTTGAGCCAACTCCTGCCCCTCTCTGAGCGTCCTTGGAGAAAATGGGGATCAGAGGTCGGTCCCACTGTGGCCGCATTGGAGAGACACAGGTCAAAATAAGAGAGGAGGCTGTGTACGTTCTCTGCAGGGTCAGAGCGCCTGGGGCCACGTCCTGCCGCGCACTTTGCCCCCGCCGCTGGGAAACGTGCGGGAAAACAAGCAGGACGGGGAGCAAACCGTGTCAGGGCTCTTCAGAGAAACGGAGCCTGTAGGATACATACATTTATGTTTATATTTATGATGTAAAAGGAGATTTCTCATAAGGGACTAGCTCATGGGCTTAGGGCGGCGGAGACGTCCCTCGGTGCGCGGCGGGCAAGCTGGGGACCCGGAGAGCCGATTCAGCTGGAGACCGAAGGCGCGAGACTGCGTCCCAGCAGTTAGGGAAGACGAGGGGGCCTTTACTCAGTCTGCCAATTCACCCGTTCATCCCCTCCAAAAACACCCTCCCGGACACACCCGGGCGCACTGCTGACCCAACCGTCTGGGCACCCCACACCCCGTCAGGTGACACAGAAAATCCCCCGTTGCAGGAACCAGAAGCTGTCTTCCTGAGGGACAGCTGGGCACGTCTCACCTGTCAGCTACCGGGCTTTTCTGTGGGACAGTTCTGTGCACCCCGTAGGGACACGGAGTCTGAGTGAGTCAACATTAGAGGGGACGTCCCAGCATGCAGGGAGGTTGGGGCTGTGTGTTCTCGCTCACTGCAGAGGAACGACCCCCACACACACAGCTGTCAGGGAGCGCCGATGCCAGGGGCAGGCACGGGGTGGTGTGCTTGGCCTGAGGTTTCTTCCAAGCGCACGGGCCTTTGGTTCTGTGGCTGTGGGAGGGCTCCCACATGGGGCCGAGCTCGTAGACACTTTGTCCAGGCCAGAGCATCCCAGTTCCACAGGGCTCGTGTAAGGACACTCTCACTCAATAACCATCAGGGGCTCCCATCACCCAGCGAACAACACTCAGACTCACTGGGCCAACATACAAGGCCTTCCTCCCCCACTGGCCGCATCTGTCCTCAAAGCCTGACCCCCCACGGCTTTCCCACCAACCTCCAATTTCCCAGGTCTCTGTGTCCTGTCCCTGAAAGGACACGGCTCCGCATCCCTCAGGAGCGGGTTTGCCGACCCTCCCATGAGTCCCCGGGCCCCGGGGTCTGAGGCTCACACCGGCCACACAACATTGCAGCCATCTGCATGCTTGTGTCTGTCACCCCGTGCCCCGGGCGCACGTTGGCACCTGCGCCCCAGCGGTCCGAGCGGTGAGGTGTGGGTCTCGGATCTCGTTCGCTGAGTCGGACAGAGCGTGTCTGCCCGCGGACTTCCTTCCACCAGCAGTCTCTCCCTCTGGAACCCGAAACCCTTCTGAAGGGCTCCTAACTGACCTCCCATCGTTTATCTGTCCAACTGAAGGGTGTGAGTGGCTTCCGGGCGGCAAGCCCCCTCCGGGTTTGGACACAGACCTCGTAAGAGGTAAGAGGACAGGATCTTGGCTTTCAGGAGGTCTGGGCTCCAGCAGGTGATATAGAAACAGAGCTGATGAGCAGACGCTCCCCCTGCCGGCCCCCTGGCGATCCGTGGACGGACAGATCCCGCGGGCAGGGACGCTCCTGGCGTTTTATCTCCGCGCTTGGGTGCCCGACCCAGAGCGGGGAAACAGCGTGCACCTGCTGAACAAACAGGTCACTACAGGGGCGCTGGGTGGCTCAGTCATTAAGCGTCTGCCTTTGGCTCAGGTCATGGTCCCAGGGTCCTGGGATCGAGCCCCGCATCGGGCTCCCTGCTCCGCGGGAAGCCTGCTTCTCCCTCTCCCACTCCCCCTGCTTGTGTTCCCTCTCTCGCTGTGTCTCTCTCTGTGCCAAATAAATAAATAAAATCTTAAAAAAAAAAAAACAGGTAACTACAGGGGGTGAGTCCACACTTAGGCCAGCAATTGGTCCATTTCCTCCTATGTGTCTGAACCACTAGCATCTCAGACGCAGCCAGAATCTTGAACTGAAAAGAGCATCAGAGCTGGAGAAGTCCTGTCCCTTATGTATCATTTCCGTTCCTTCTACAGCATTCCTACACCTGATCCCATGAAGACAAGTTCGGGTCCCCACGCACGGAGGCGTCGTGTGAGAGCAGGGTGACGTTGTTTGGCGGAGTTTTAGATGCGGTGCCGGGGGGATTTAAGAGGCACAGGCTCCAGGGAAGCCTGTGGGGTTGGGGAGGGGGTCCAGAGCCGGCCCCTGTTGCTTCCACTCCTGTTCTTCCTGGCACAGAGACCGGGACGGGGGGCTCGCACCCCCGTTACAACGAGCGCACAGAATTTCTGCCCATGAGACATGGTCAAGCTTCTGTCCAGAGCTGGCTAATTCCACACACCAGCCATCCCAGCAAAGTCGAGCTCAAGGAAATTCACCATGACCCTCTCTGTCTCGGAATTAAAGCCACATTAGGTGGGGATGTGTGACAATTCATTTGGGTTCCTCTGCATTGGCTTGCTGAGCAAATCCGTCGTGGATACAGGGAGGTGTTTAACCTGGTTGAACGAGAGACACAGAGGCAATTTCTCAGTCTCCTTCTAGCCGCTCTGGCCGCTGTGTGGCTGAGGACAGGGAGTGACTGTGCGACACACAGATCGTCTCAGCGGTTTCCTTCAAAACACGTGCGAGTCTCCGTCACACGGGGCAGTGCATTCTCGTCTCCAGCAGGAACACAATAAATTGACCTGTGTTCTAGGTTCAATCTCTTCAAGTTCTGACCACTGTCTCGATGCCTCCTGTTTGGGGGACATGTGAGGCTCTGCAGCAGGAGGCCCCGGGGCACCTCGGGAAGGGTCTCTGAGCTCCGAGAATCTGATTGGAACGTGTGGTAAGATGAGTTTTCTCATTCCCACTGTAAGGCAGGAAGTCGGATCTGGGGATTCAGAGAACAACCTTGCAAATCCGGGAAGGACATGGATGGAATCTTTAAGGACCAGACTATCCCATCAGGTCGGATGCAGAAGAGGAGTGGGGAGGCTCCTATCACAGCCCTGCTCCCCACGAGCTGTGTCCTGTGAGCCTGCAGACCCCACCTTCCCCCAGCCCAGTGGGACGGCCTGCAGAGGGAAGAAGGTGCGTCCCCCAGGGTGTGGGAGCAGGCGACCGTGGTGCAGCCAAGGCAGCCCGCTGGGTGCCTGGTGCAGAGGCTTGGCGAGCGTGCTCCCCCTCCCGCACCGGGAGCACGGGGTTTACACGCGTGCACGCACAGCCTGCAGAAGCAGCAGACTCCAGGGCCCGGCTTGGGGCCCTTGGCAAATGAGGCACCACAGGGACAGTCACGGGAGTGATTGATTAACTCTAACTGCTGCAATTCGTTCTGGAGGCCGGGACCGAAGGTGTGACTGTGACAAATCGCTCGGCTTTCCTTTTTGTCTTTACATGAACACATTTGTCAGAACAAGAGGAGAGAAAATACAGAGAAGTTGGTGCCAGAGAGGAACTCTTACTGACTCGGTGACTCGCTTCTGCGATGTTCTTGTTCAGAACAGGACATGGGGGCTTCTGCCTGACAGTGAGGACAGCCCTCCGGGGACAGGACGGGCAGGAGCGCCCTCAGCAGGGGACCCCAGGGTTCCGCCCACCCCCCCCCAGCCCTCAGACCCTGTGCCCCACCCTCGCCCCGCCTGTGTCTAGTGGGGGGAGCGGGAGGAAGGCGGGGGGACAAACGAAGGTCTATTTCCTGTGGCCACAGCCCCACGTGGTTAAGAACGGTTCTTAAGCACCGTTAAGAACTTCGGCTTCCGAGTCAGAGCTGGATTTAACCCAAAATGACGTCCAAGTTCAAACTTGCTGCCTGTGTGAGTTCAGACATCCTTAGTAACATCTCTGGCCTCCATTTCTGCATCTGTAACTGAGTTGAATGATACACCTGCTTCCTAAAGTTGAGTGAGAGCCCCGGGAGGAGGGCCGTCTGCGTCTGTCTCCTGTTAGATATTCCCTGGGTCTCCCCACTAAATGGTGTGTTTTGTCCACCGCTGTGTTCTCAGCATCCAGAACCCCGTCTAGGGCAGAGCACTTGGTAAAAATCGTTTTAGTGAGGAGTAGTGCAAATACAGGGGTTAAGCCCGGCATTCTCACACAGCCAAGTCTCAGGGTGACGGTTTTCAAGCGTCAGTGACAGGTGGAGGAGACTTTGCATTGAGATCTGAGAAGCTCTGGAAGACAACACAGCAGAGCAGGCACAAGCATGAGCTCTGAGTCCAGAATGCCGTGGTTTAAATCCCGTGTCTCCCACTGTACAACCGCGGGCAGGCTGCGGGGACCCCTCGGTGCCCCCATCACTGTAGGAAGGCCTGGCGGTAATAACAGTCCCTACTTCAGAGAGCCAGAGGGGGCTGGGGAACGGGAGTGTGCACCTGTGATCTCAGAACCACGCTCCACTCTTTGTAGGAAGGAGCCTGCTCTCATTAGTGGGAGGGATGTGGTGTGGCCGGATCATCAGATCCCAGGGGTCTTAAATGAGTGGGAGGTCACTCCCAGCCAACTGGAGTTACAAGTCGAGACCAAGGGCCCGGCTGGTTTAAGCCTGTGTGTCGCATCCTGGGCCAAGGCTCACTGTGGGCCCCCTCACTGCGGGGAGGTGAAGGTCAGGGGCTTTTGCCTGTGGACGTGGCCTCCTTAAGAGGAGACGTTCACTCCCCACTCCCGAAAAGTGTGTGTGGGAAAGCCCTGACCTGCACCACACCCCCAAGCAGGACCACGTCTGAGCCCCGTCATCAGACCCAGGGCATCTCTCCAGTCCTCTGTGTGTATGCCGCCGTGCATGGCTCTGCCCCCTGTGGCTCGCACAGGCCCTGGCCCGGCGGACGGTTCTGCGAAAAGTCTGTAGAGTGCATGAAGCACATCGTTTCCACAGGCAGTCAAGAGAAGTCTAAGAACACGAGATAGGTGTGGCTGAATCACATCCTCCTGTGCTGCAAGTGTGCATCCTCTCCTCTCTCCATCTCTAATCCCATCCTTGACACCCACATTTCAGGAACAAAACAAATGGAGATGTAATTCTGTGCACCTGGGTCTCCCATGCAGGCTCAGCTATGCAGGAAATGGGCCAGGACCCCCCATGGAAGAGCCGCACCTGTCACTGGCAGGTGCCTGTGGAGCATCTTCCTGCCCGGGGTCCGGAGCCTGGCAGGTGCGTGTGGAGCGTCCTCGCGCCCGGGGTCTGGAGTCACACGAAGCGGCAGTGAACCAGGTCTTGGGCAGCTAGAGCCCATGAGCTTCCGGAGGTTGCCATGTGGTTCGCGGTCCCCCTGCTTCCAGTACGCCTGCTCTGCGGACAGGGATGCATTCCAGAGGGGCGTGTTTGCATCCCAGCCGCACACCCGGGGGTGCTTCTCTCTCGCTGTTTGCCCAGCACGTGCATGCACACACCCACACTCACCTTACCCATGCTCACACTGCCTCCCACGCTCTGAAACCTTCTTTGTTTTTTTTTTTAAAGATTTTATTTATTTATTCATGAAAGACAGAGAGAGAGAGAGAGAGAAGCAGAGGGAGAAGCAGGCTCCCAAGGAGCTGGGAGCCTGACACGGGACTTGATCCCAGGACCCTGGGATCATGACCTGAGCCGAAGGCAGACACTTAACAACTGAGCCACCCAGGAGCCCTCTGAAACCTTCTTAAAACATGTTTTTTGAATCATAATTCCTTCATATCATTCAAACTTCAGAAACGATAAAAAGATAAATGGTGGAAACTGTCTCTTCCTACTTCCTGTCCCCGCATCCCGTGAAGGGTGAAGGGTGGTCACTGTTGGCAGATTTTCTCCCGAATGGGCTTCACGCACATCAGTGATCTACGTGCAAGGATCTATTCTCTTTTTACTACTCGTGTTTTCACGGATGTTGCAAACTGGACGCAGTTTCCACACTTGGCTTCTTCACTTAAAAAGACGACTGTTAGAGCCTCCAAGTGGCGCACAAGCGTGAGGAGTTACTATTACAGTTTGAAATATTATTTTCATAATGGAAAAGGGTAATTATGAAGATTAAAATAGCTCTTCTTAGCATTTGGAGAGGAAAATGGAGGAAAGACTTCAGCTGATACGGAGCAGCGCGGCGGCCTGTGAACCGTGGGCTCCCGAAACCCCACGCCGTGCGTCCCTCCTTTCCTGTTTCTCTACATTCAGTTCAAACCCTCTCTGAGTCATAAACCACTAGCTGCAAGTACACTGTACACAAGAAGGATGCTTTCCCGACCACGGAGACATGGAAACAAAGCTGTCCTATGCAGCTGTGCCTCCCAGACGCGGGACGGGATCCCCATAGTTTCTCCCCCAACGATCCATTCTGTGCTTGTCTACACCTCAGGAACCCATCTACACATAGTCATATTTCTTCTCTTGGTTCCCTTGCTTCTCTTTGTGCCTCCCGACGCTGTTGGACACCAGGACCGTCTTTACTTCCTGTTCCCTACCTGTTAACTGTGCTACAGACTGGCTCTACGTAGGGCAGCGCGAGGACGCTCCACACGCACCTGCCAGGCTCCGGACCCCGGGCGTGAGGATGCTCCACACGCACCTGCCGCAACGTTAGGCTCACATCTGGTCCCAGAAAGACTCCCCAGTTTTCAAGTGGCCTCCTGCAGAGTGAGAAGCAAGGCAGGTCTTCTGAAGTGACCAGAGCCCTTCTCCCAAGGGTCCAGCTAAGTGCTCTCCAGGCGGAGTGCAGAGTGTGCATGGGTGTTGTTTGGGGATGTGCCGACTTCCAGAGCAGGCTGGGGTGGGGGCCAGGTGTTTGGGTCTCTCGCAGATTCACGGGTGGACCCAGCCTCCCGTGTGGGCGCTGTGCTGTGCTGCCTGGGCCCCTCTCTAGCCTGGGCGGCCGATCCCTCCCCGCCAGCACTGGTGGCCCACAGCGTCAGGGAAGCTCCTCTCAGAATTGCCTTCAGCTGAAGAAAGCCTCTCACTGCGCCCCGCCGAAGCCTCAGTTCTCTCCAGGATCCAGCTCCAGAGAGGCAGAGGCAGGAAGACCCACACCCTTGCTTCGAGGGGGACAACAGCTCCAGAGATCCCCAGGGGGATGGTCCTCCTCTGCTCGGGGACCATCCTACCCTCCAGGCTGCTGACCCACGTGCTCTCCCCGGGGGCCCGGCGAACGAATCTCCATCCCGTTGTCTGCCTCCCCCGCGGAACCTAACCCAAGCCGCCTCCTCGACACCCGAATCTTAGCCTCGCAAATGCAGAGAGACCCAAACAACCGTGCAACACGTTTTGTAGATTTTGTTGTGCTGTGTTTATGTAAAGGCTGATTACTATCATTATATGTATCATTTCTAAGATCTTGTTTTATGCTATTTTTCATTACAACTGGAGAATGTTCCAGCTAATTTACAGGAGTTTATCTACAGGCATTTGTAAGTTCATTGACCATCCCAAACCCACATTAATAACATTTTTTTTTCTATAGTAGGCAACATTTCCTTGACACAACACTGTGTTCTTTTTCACCTTTAAGACAAATCTCAAGAAATACCCCATCCTTCCCACAAATATTCCCTGAAGGCCTCTGGGCTTAGCCCTGGTGTGGGGCTGAAGATGCAGTTGTCAGGGGGATTTCTTTCTTTTTTTTTTTTTTCCAGTTTGAAACCATACTTTATTTTTAATGTAGCTAGAAATCAAATAACTGTATATTTTTAAGCAGAAAAAAACTCCTTTACTTTTCCTTCTTATATCATTGTTAGCACAAGAAAAAACACTTCTGGTTTAGAAATGATACTGAGTTTCTATTAAAATGAATGTACTTTGTTATTTGTGGAACTTAAAAGCACAGGACACATTTTCAGAAGACCAATTTTACTTTTACCCACTTATGGTAATATTTGCAATGTTAAAATGTACTTAATATATAATTAAGTAAATCAAATAAGGAACCCAAAAGGAACTGGTCTTCTTGAGTTATTCACAGCACACATTAGAAAATCTGAGAACACACATTAACAAAAAAAAAAAACCACTGGCAAGCTCAAACGCAAGTTTGTATGCTGAGTATTTTTAAAGGGTTTAAAAAGCATGCTCAGTTAGCATACAGCCTTTTCTCACTCATATAACAGATGCATTTCTATCTGCTTGTGTACAGCAAAGGGTTAGAACCTGAATCAACTTACTTATGACTTCAGAAATGTGCTACTTCAAAAATGTATTCCATGGAATTTTTTTCACTGCTCCTACCACTGATTCTTCAAAATAAGCAAAGGGTCTCATCCCTACCCTTGAAACTGTTTTTATAAACACCAGCACTTTAAATTGAAAGACAGGTAGAACCCTAGCAATTCCTGGTACAGTGCCTGGACTTAGTCTTAATTAATGTTGAGCGTTGAATGTACAGCAGAAAATTTATCATTTCTTTATCCTTGGAGGAGAGGGAGGGAGAAAGAGGAGAGGTGGGGAATATGGTGCAGTATTTAGGAGCTAAACAGGAGCACAATGACTCATCAACCCCAAAATGAAGAACCATGGATCTCATCAATTTTATAATTCATGTTGGATCAAGAAGTTTGGTTCCCCTCTATGTGTATATTTTTAAGCAGAAAAAAACTCCTTTACTTTTCCTTCTTATATCATTGTTAGCACAAGAAAAAAGATTTCTGGTTTAGAAATGATACTGAGTTTCTATTAAAATGAATGTACTTTGTTATTTGTGGAACTTAAAAGCACAAGACACATTTTCAGAAGACCAATTTTACTTTTACCCACTTATGGTAATATTTGCAATGTTAAAATGTACTTAAGTAATATATAATAAGTAAATCAA